TGAATTGTATTCTTTTACCTATTCAACCCTTCCATTTCTATTCAGTAATTCTCACATATCAGCTAACAATGATGGCCAAAGATTATAATGCAGGGGGGACGTGAATTTGGAGAAAGTGGAGTAGGAAGATGTGGTAAAGAATAGGGAGAAAGAAGGAAGATCTTAAGCCATGTTGGTTGTAGTTTTGTTAAATTATTTTATCATGAGTCAAACCTCTGGAAAAAGCTGGTTCATGTCTGAAGATCAACTTTTTTTACTATTTAAGTATATTTCTCACTTAACCTGAACTACTTTCTTGAAGTCTTAAAATCCATAAAGCATAACAACATGTTATTGGGCAGACACCTTTCTTCAACTAGAACTTCTCTAAGTCCCAAAAGTGAGATAGGAAGAGGGAAAAGGAAACTAACAGCTACTGAGGGCTCATATGTCCTAAGCAGTGGGGGGTGGATTATTACCCCCCTTTACAGATAAGGAAACTGAAGCTCAGAGTATGTGATAAAATCAAAAATTTTCTTTGACATGGTATATTCAAAAATAATTCTGGGCATTTCACTTCCAAAATGGCAGCGCGAGGCGCTCTGCAGGCCCTAGCAAAACAAGCATAATGGGTGAAAATTATAAACAACAGCAACAACAACCAAAGAAAAACATTTAAAGTTACAAGAAATTGTCATAAGAGCACACAGCAAATGAAGAAATATTTACTCAAGAAAATCTACTAAAAAACCGTAAAAGCCAGTGAGATTCTGTGGCACTTGAGCCATGGCTTGCTCCCTTCCTCTCCCATATCCCAGCTCAAGTTTAAAGAAGTTCCACTCTGGGTGAGTGTGGCCAAGAAGACAGGGCCCTCACTCTCCTTCGCAAAATCCAAGGGATATGATATGTCAACATAAGGGACAGGCCATCAGCATTTAAGAAGCTTCAGAGGCTAAATTCTTGGTGAGTGTGACTGAGAAGTTAGGGACTCCTTTTGTCTACCCAGCTCCCATTTATAGAGTGGAGGCTCTACTCCAGTTGTTACGGGCTAAGAATAGTGGGACCCTGATTGCCCTCACCTTAGCTTGCCTATAGGGCAGAGGTTCTACACCAGGAGAGGCAAGCTGAAAAGACCAGAGGCTACCACCCCACCCAACACTCAGAACAGTGTCTCAAAGATTTTGCTCAAAAAAAGAGTCAGTCCATAAGAACAGAAAGCTCTGAAGCACTCCCCAAAGTAGTTGACTTTTTTTGAAACAGCGTATGAGGAAGTTTAAGACTATGGGTGCTATCAATAACAATGGAGATTTTGGCAGTAAACAGCTAAAAGGAGGCTGGTAGCACCATTGGAGTAATACACTAGATCACAGGCCAAGCAGTTTACCAGAGAGAACCAGGGAAAGAGACAGTTAAGAAGAGCCCTCCTAGGTTAGAACATACTTCAAAGGCTGGCCTCAAAAACTACCCCTGCCCAAATGTAATTGAGATAATTTATGCCTCAGGGGATTGTCAAAAACAATAGAGCAATCAGCTGCCAATTAGCAGAGCCTAAAGAGCCTTGGTGGCTGGTGCAGCGGTTAAGTGCTCTGCTGCTAACTGAAAGGTGGGCGGTTTGAACTCAACCAGAGGCTCCGAGAGATAAGACCTGGAGATCTGCTCCTGTAAAGATTACAGCCTAGGAAACCTGTGGGGCAGTTCTACTCTGTCCTATAGGGTCGCTGTGAGTCGGAATTGACTCAGTGGCAATGGGTTTGGTTTTCTTTTCTTTTTTTTTTTTTAATATCTGGGTAAGGAGCCATAATGGCACAAGGATTAAGCTCAGCTGTTAACCAGAAAGGTTCTTACTTAGAACCCACCCACCGTGCTGTCCAGTCAATTCTGACTCAGTGACCCTATAGGAAAAGTAGAACTGCCCCACAGAGTTTCCTAGGCTGTAATGTTTACAGGAGCAGATTGCCAGGTCTTTGCCCGT